GGCGGCGCGCCCGCGGGCTTTGCGCGTGCGAGGGGAGCGCGGGGCGCCCCGAGGCGCGCGTTTCTCACGGTGTGAGTAGCAAGCTTGCCTTGCGGACATAAATCTCGGGGCGCAGGTGGCGGAGTTGTGTGCGCGGCGCGGGTCGGTGGTTAGCGGCGGCAGTGGTCCGAAGTGGCAGCCTGACATCCGGTCAGCGCGGGGATTTTCCTCGCGGGGAAAGTGGCCGAGGTGTGCGTGAGTGAAAGTGAAGTGCATGCACCGGGGAGGGCTGGCCGCGGTGCGGGCTTGCGCACCATATGTCGGTACTTAGGCGCTTAAAGCAAGGTTATTTCTGTCCCTTTTTGGCGCTTGCAAATCATCTTAACCGGGAAAGTTGTTTTACGGTATTTTTTCTTTAATACTTTGTGTACACGGGTTGTTTTTTTTTTTTTGTTTTTTTTCCCTTGGCGAGATGGAGGGAAATCGTGTCCACAGCGGTCTGCCTTGAACTGTTGTAAGAGACCGAGTCCCGTATCGATCTGGATATAAATACCAACAACATCAAAAGGAAGCATTGATCTGTCGCTTAATAATTTGTATTTGGAAGTGTTTTGCTGAATGTGGAAGTCTTTGACGTTTCTTATTCATTTGCAAAGAGATAGCGAAAAGGTCGTTGTTTCTCCCAGAGGAGGAAAGACCGTGCGGAAAGGAAGAGCAGGAGCAGTCCTCGCAAGGTCATCACACCCGCGGTGAAAGCAGAAGTGCTACAGATCCTTGCGACTGCTTAGCTGGTATTCTTGCTGGCTGTAAGCGGTTCTTATTTTTTAAGCCTCGCAAGACGTTTTCGGGCCAAGCTTTGGGTCGCGTCTGTAAGGGGGTGCGCTCGTCTCGCTCCCCTGAAGGCACGGTGGCTTCGCCGCGCTCCTGCTAGTTGCTTGGGAATAAGACGAAGTGAAAATGGAGGTGGGTGGAGATAAGCGAAGGCGATGTGCAGCCCAAGCCGTTTCCCGCACGACGGCGTGAGCAGCGGGGAAAGGCGAGAGAATTTCGTTTCAGGGCATCACAACAAAGGCGGGGCGGGTTGAGGCAGATCCCGAGCGGCCGTGCGGGGAACCGCGGCGTTTTGCGCGCCGGCCCGAGCCGGGAGCCGGGTGCGGGCTCCGCTGCCCCCCCCCCCCGGGGGGCGGCCGGGAAAAGCGCGCCCCCCC